TTCTAGAACAAAACAACAACTCCAAGATTAAAAAAACAACTGCTCTTGAGCTTTTTTTAAAAAATCTCGTTGATATTTAGTCATAAACATAATGATACCGTATTAAATTGCAACTCGTTTAAACAAGATGCTCAAGCCTAGAGGTTAATTACGAGTGGGGAGGTGAGGAGTGTAGGAGGGAGGGCACTGACCTTCACCTTGTCTGTGTTACAAGAATTACATAACATCTCATCGATCGGGTTGCCAGGTCAGTGTTGTAATCCTGTAGTAATGTCAAAACGAGGCTCAACCCACGTGATCAAATTTAATTATCTCGTCAGTCAAACAACGTTGTGTCATACTTAATGAGTTGTTATTTTAAGATAAAGTGGGGAGGGTGGAGACGGCGGTGTTCAATGAAAAAAAAAGATTGTGAAATGAAATAAATATTGATTTTTGCTAACCGGCAGGTACACTAGGGTAGGACAACTCGTTACGTTACCTGAAATATCTCCGGTTTTTGCGCAATCCTGGGATTTCTTCTGTTTTGAGGTTCTATAATGAGGGAAAACGCGGGGCGACGATGAGCAAATACAACACAAACCACAAATCAGAAGCAATTATGACGCAACGAGAGTAATCGTAAGAAAACTACGCAAGGGGAAGCGACCCGCTGCTGGAGTTGAAGGAGAGGGGAAGTAACTCGCAGGTGAGGTATAAAACCTGCGTCGTGTGGGTGGGACGGTTCCATAGAAGTCTTGTCGTCTGCTGAAGGTGTTTGTTGTCAGCACGTGCAGTCGAGGAATTCTTCTACTGGAATTTATTGTGTTTGTAGTTTGTTGAAATATTTTCTAGGAGGAAATACTTTTGGTGAGTTGTAATAAAGCAATTTTATTTTTTTCTTGTGTAGTTTTCAAGTGTATTACGGAAATTAATTACACAAATCGAGATAAGTGATTAATTTTGAACAGTAATTTTTAATTTTCAGAATTTTTAAGAAAGATTTTTTTTAAAACTTTAAAAAATAGAGATAATCGCTAATATTATGTGGTGTGTATTTAAGGGACGTGGTCTAGTGGTAGAATAGATGCTAGCTAGTCCGAAAGATGAGTTCGGTACCCAAGCGTTGCTTCATTATGCACGTGGTTCGATACAAAAGGAAAATCCACAGGATGTAAGAAATGGTTCGATTCTCTTCATCCTGTTTGTGTCTACCTGGCTAATGAGGCTTGCTGTATAGAGATTATGTTTCGAAATTAGAGAGCCGAACTGGCCCTTTGATCGTAAAAAAGAGTGGGTTCGAAACACACTCAAGGGGATGAAAACCTATTGAGAGCTAATAGTAAAGTTAATAGTTAAAATTCTTTTTTTAGATTTAGCGATTTATTGGACTGATGAAGTAGAGTTAATTTTTCTTGACATCGGTGAAAGAAGAGTAGGTGTGATCGGAATTATGCTCCACCGCTTTTACTTTCACTAATGTATGCCGGGTACGCAATATAGCTAGGTGGGCTCAATGACGTCCTAAAGTCAAATTCCGAAACGAGATCCGAACATTCGGAATAGTTTCCGATCTATAACGCTTTAAATAAGAGTAGACCCTGAGAAAGAAAAAACTAGGGTCACGGGTTAGTTGTGAATTAGGATTAGGGATCAACACGACCTACAGTAAATGTATACATGTATAGTCTGGTAGCAGGTAGGGAAATAGCAATATTGACATAAAGGTTATTGTATTTGTACAAAGACGAGCCGACTGGACGTGGTGTTCACAGCTCTGTAGGGGTGAGGGGGTAGGCGAGGATTCTGTGTCGGATTCTTTACGATGAATGCGATGGCGTCGCTAGGTCGGGTGTCACCCGGTGCGGCACCCAATGGTGTCACCACACTCCCACCCCCTCGAAAAAATTATATATATATATATATATATATATATATATATATATATATATATATATATATATATATATATATATATATATATATATATATTTAAAGCCGTACTCAAAAAACTATTCAAACTAACTCTTTTTTTTGGTGGGGAAAGACGACACATCCTAAATAGACACTTTCCTATCCGATGCCTTAGCAAAACCACTCTAATCGTTCAAGGCCTTATTCTACATATTAATTATTTTGATTTTCGTTACATAATATCGATACACTTAATTTACCATAAAAAAAAGTATAAACATTGTTTAAGTTAATACTGTTCGTAAGAGTTTGTACGTGAAGAATCCTTTCGAATATAATGATTCATAAAGCAGGGGAAGTAGAGTCCACTTGTTTCAGTGACCTCGGCTTATTAAGGTATTATGTAGTCAGCAGTTTGACAAGCCGCCTTTACTATCCCTAACAAGAATCAGATACATATCAAAGCTGGGTGGGCGCGGTAACATCTTACGGATTACACCCCGGGATCTGAACTCGATACTTTTGGGTAAGCAGTCATATGCTCTACCATCCGGCCACGCCCTTCCCCGTAATAATTAGTTCTAGAACTAACCTTTCATTGATTAGTTTTTAGAAAAACATTTATTTAAGTACCCCAAAACGTAATGGACGATGTCTGCTTCAAAACACACAGGTATGGCTAATCAAAGAACAATCTCCTATTCTAGGCAACATCCGCTTCAACCATCACCAATTATCCACGTACTAAAATACAACCTGCGGGCGTCTCAAAATAAACATACAAACAAATTCAAAACTTTAGAAACAATCTGCGCATGCGTCATCCCACCAATTAAATCCAGCCACAACCAATTCTTCCATTCTGGCACCGTTGCTATTTCTGTCACAAACTACTGACACGGTCAATTTTATCGGTGGGATGGGAGGTCGGAGTGGGGGGAGTGGCATGGGGTGAGGGGGGGGGAGATTTGATTCCGCCACGCAATAGTATACGACTCATTACCCGTGAAAATTGTCTTTGGCCTACTCAAACAGAACCTTCCTAGTGCTGGCCATCTAATTAAGAACAGAGCTGGAATGACATCAGCATTGAAACAGGTCATATGAAACTATTGGTGTAGGTCTAGGATAGTAACTTGTATATTTAATCTGGGTATTGGAAATTACCACCCCCACCCCCCCCCCCCCCCCCCCCCCCGAACACTATCGTATCCCGAATTGGGTAGTTGAAATGGGAGGGGTAATTGCTAAAAGGGGAGTAATGTCGGGGAGGTTGTCAGGGGGTAATTGGCAGAGGGGGGGGGGGGGGTAATGTCATGCTCCCATTTAAACTAAGATGACCGCCCAAAGAACACAGTGTGATGGTTTAGATTTTAAACATAGCAGAAGGTTATTTTTTGTAAAGTCGTTGTTCTATTATTAACAAGTTTTGTATTTAAGGCAGGCAACTTATATGATAAATTTATCTTTTATGACGAACTAATGAACTATAAAGATTTTCTGCAATTAAAACAATTAAAATATGGAACATTGCAATGGAGACTTGGAACCAAATTCAAAAATATGTTTTTCACACGAACGAACATACACAGGTGTTTCAATAAATGTAAAAAAATAAAAAAAAAAAATTAACAATTTTTTTTTTTAAATGTGCAAACTTCATGACGAAGTTAGCTATATTCTAAAGTTAATTTACAATGACAACTTCCGCTTTAATTGCGTAGGCGCCTACAGATACAAAGAAATCTTTTGTTTCCACAACGTAAGCACCTACAGCTACCTTTATAAGTCTAGCTATTGCTACGTCAACATAAAATAACAATTTTCGCAGCTGTGACGTCAACATAACTATAACAAGTTTCGCAATTGCATATACCAAGTTTCACTATAAACCCCCCTCGCGCCGGATCCCGTGCGAAGGTTCCTACCCACAATGCCCCGGTACGCTGCTGTTTCCGGTAATTGATTGCCTGCACACTCTCGCTCAAGGATCACGTAGACAAGGACGACAACCCCGGAGCTATCACGTGATATAAACATCACGCAGGGGCCGCGGTGTCTTTCGTTGACGTCCACGCATGCCGTTCACTCGCATTGTCTTAGAGAAGATAGTTCATGTTCTTGGTGGCGTAGGGTGGGTCCTTATTGATTAGGCAAGGTCGTGTTTTTTTTTGCCATGTTGGTTTCGAAGATAACAATATTGATCTGATTCAGAAAGATTTGGCATTCTTACATAACAGTATGGTGTGAGAACAAATTGTTTATTAAAATTAAAATAAGGCATGGAGTTAGGCTTGTGGTTAATTAATATATTCAGTACCAGGTTTATTAGGAAGTAAAGGTTAGGTTTATCATGAAAGGGTGGTTTGATGTTCGATTGTTAAGGTTTAGGTTTTGGTTTTTCATCAAGCGGTAATCAGTTTAGGATTAGACTAAAAAAAAATAGGTTGAGGTTTTGCTGTCTGTTTTGGTGTAAATTTATTTTGGTTACGGTTTAGAGTTTAGATTTTGTCTGTTGAACGGATCGTTTGAAATCGATGTTATTGATTTTTTTTATAGAAAAAATAAAAGTTAAAAAATAATTTTAAATTTCATTAGTTTCAACATTATTGAAAAGCAGTTTGGCTTTTTGCTTTGTTAAACTAACTTCATTATTGTTTATGTAGCACTGAACATATTCATTTTTAGGATTGGTATACATTCAATATTCAGATGTCTTAAACTATTGTATAGATGTAAAAACATTGTATTCGTATTACAGCTTGGTCAAGAGACTCCAATTAATGTTAATTACTTAAGTTAATTAGTGGGACAACGTGGTCAAATGGTAGAGCGTTTGGCTACCAGCCCGAAAGTGTCGAGTTCGGATCTCGATTCGTTCTTGTAGGACGTACCCTGGTTCACCCAGCTCTAATGGGTACCTGACTTACGATGTAGAAAGTAAAAGCCGGTTGGCATAGTCCTGACCACACCACCACATCATACTCTCATTTGTCTGCCTCATAGATACCTAGTTCTAAAGAAGAATCTTTACTTTTTAATTAAGTTAATTAATTTACTTAATTTTTTTTTCTTAGTTTGTTTATTTCTCTCTTCCAGATATGGCCCGTCACAAGCACCAGTTTCTGGCTCTCGTCTTCCTTCTGGACGTCGTGTTCGCCACAGGTAAGTTTCTGATGCCCACCTGCCTACAGCACTGCTTACATCCTGTCTTTTATCTCACCCTCCTAGTATTTTCTTTACCCGGTTAAATGAAGCTTTTTTACAACTCTTTGTCTTATTCTTCACCTCAACAACCTCAAACTTACGAATATTGTAATATCACCTGAACATCCATACCCCTAAAATCTCGCATAATGGTCTCTACATAGAATCATCTTCCAACCTTCATCTTCTCCTTCTTAATCCCGTTCGCGCCCAAGACACATGGGACAGTTGAAGTAGAGTTCATCTGATTCGTAGACCTCGGTATATGAAGGGGTAGTGTGAGGGTGGGGATTTTTAAAGATGCGGAACGAATGAATCCAATAACACACAGTTCAAGTTCAACTATAATTGTTCTTTATTAAAATTATAATCAGTTCTATCTAACCAGCCTATTCTACACTCTCTACTGTTTACTACTACTACTAACTGTTCACTATACTACTAACTACACACTCCCGTGACCACTCCTAACACTATCTAACTGTTCTCTACATTCTACAATCTAACACCTTCTACCCCGCTAGCTAATCATGATCTCCTAACTATCTACATTCTCGGCCGTCTCTGCCCGCTACCTAACAACTCCTGGCCTATCGCTCTACTGCTGACCCACGCCTCAGTGGTCAGCTGACCGTCCCACGTGACCGGTCAGCCCTGTGCGCCCATTGGCCTCTCTACCCAACCAACTAGGCCTATAGTCTGTTTCTGCTAACCTATATCTGCTAAACATGTCTGACGTAATCTTGCGTCATCACATATCTCCCTCCCTTTCTGTAGCTGACAAATTATATTTTTCAGCGTCTACTACTAATCTAATACATCAACAACTATCTATCTTACTACTATATTCTATCCCTAACATCAACATATAAATCAAATACAAAATGGGACAGCACAGTTTACAAAAACATAAAATCTTGTGTCTGTGTTCCTGAAAAAAAAATGTCATTGTTCTAGTTCTCGTGTAAGTGTCTTGACGTTGAGTGTTTCTGCTTGATAATGTATGTCTATGTTTCATGGTATGTGTGAATTCAATCATGTGCAACTCAGTTCTGGCTAGGTTGTCGTGCACTGGCCTTGAGCTAATCTTAGTAGAATGTGTAACTGGTTGAACGGGCTCTGCGAGCAGTGTAAGTGTATGTGTAAGTGTTATGTAATTGCTGGCGTTCCTCTATGGTGGGTGGGTTGTGGCGAGTTTTGATGTAAATTCCCGTGAGGCGGGTGTATGCGTAACTTCGTTGGTCAATGTGATGACGCAACAATCTCATCTCAACGCTGGTTGAGACGTCCACGTAGAGTGGTTATGCGATGAACTGGAGCTGTCTGATGCGGTGGCGAACAACGACGTAACGTTCCGACGCTGGGAACTTGGACGATGGGTCGTCTACCCTTTGTATGTGCCGACGTAGGTGTACGTAGCTGGCGGTCTGTTATTCAACTCCAGTGCGGGGGCGAAGCGGTGGCGATGCGTCCGCTATCTTGACCAGGGCAATTCGCTGTTCGGCAGGGCTGTTCGCTGTCCAGGTAACTCAACGTAATCAGGGCTTCAGATGGCGGCATTCTTTGAAGTGTCTGCTTCATCTCGTCTCATTCTGAATAAGCGTAGTGGGTCTGAAATTGTATTACGAGACCATGAGCAATGGTTTTACGTGGACTTTTTATTGCCCGCGCAGACAAGTATTCAGACAGAGGTACCTTCCATTAAAAAAACTCAATCCCAAATTTATACGTGCTGAACATTTGTCTGGCGGTATAGCAAACATTAAAAAATAACATTACAAAAATAACCAAATAAAAAAATCAGTACACTCTAATCTAACAACAATCTGTAAAGCCTAATAAACTCAATAGACGTAAACACTACTAGAGCTTAGAAATAGCTTCACAAAAAGAATAGACATGTGAGTGTGTATCGTGTCATTTCAACACGTGATCATATAGTGGAGCAGCTCTCACTATCTGACTTCTGACAAAAAACTGGCTGGCTTGACTTAATGACTGACTTCACTTTTGACTTCAGTAACCTGACTTATTTCAATTTAACTGACTTCAGTAATTTCACTTATTTCACTTTGACTTCAGTAACGTGACTGACTTCAATTTAACGACTGATTCCACTTTGACGACTTCAATTACTTCAACTTGACGACTAACTTCTTTGACGACTAACTTCACTGCGACAACTAAATCGACTGACTTCATAGACCTCTGACTGGCTTCGACTTCTCTTTAACTTAATAGACTTCACTGACTGACTAAACTTCGACGACTTAAACGTCTTCACTTTGACCTCAATGACTTTTCCTTGACTTCAACGACTTCAATATGACTTCAAACAATTCACTTTGACTTCAACGACTTCAATATGACCTCAAAGACTTCAACGACATCACTTTGACTTCAAAGACTTCACTATAACTTCGACGATTTCACTTCTTCACTATGACCTCAACGACTTTACAATAACTTCAAAGACTTTTCTATGACTGCAACATGACTTCAACTAAGTCACTATGACCTCAAATACGACTTCAACAACTTATTGACTGGCTTGACTGACTTCAAATAACTTCTTTGACTTCACGCCAATTTCTCGGCGACTTAACACAAAAAAAACCTCGACTTGACTTCAATCTTATGTTCATTATTCAAATCATTAGTGGGGGCGGTCCGGGTCAAATTCTATCCAGGCCTTAATATACCACACTAGGACCGATAGGGCGGGGCTCGGTGTGGACAAAGGTGTTGTGATCTTTCACGTGGTCTATGATTACCATGCTTGTGTTTCTGTAGGTGTGTTGATGGGGTCATCTGGTTTAAGGCTGACCAGGAGTAACCGTGCTCTCTGTCTTCTATCAAATTCCTTGTTACATATTCCTCTGATTCACTGTTTACTGATTTCTCTAATCTCAGCAATCTATTACTGACTGTGTCGTTCTGCAGCCCTAAGTGAAGAACAACTGCACCAATCTCGGTAATCTTTTTAGAATGATCCCCAATAACCTCGTTAACTTTTTCTATCAACTTGTCCGTTTTGAATTGCAATTCGTCTACTTTTTCGTTGTCTCGAATACTGGGCTGCTTGTTTATTTGTTGCTTGTGGCTCATAAATTCTACATTAAATTGCTTCACTCCTGTAATGTTGCCTAATATCATATCGTATGGCCCGTTTTTGAAAACAACTGCTTCAACTGTTTTACACGCTGAGGGTGTGGCTATGGTGACTATAGCTGTTGGCCAAACATATGTGCTGCCTCTTGAGCTGTGGACAAGTTGTGTTCTGCCTGTGTATTGGTGATGTTGTACGAATGTGTTACGTACTGCCACTGTGGAGCATAGTGTATCCCTAATTGCTGTGGCGTATCTGTTATTAATTTTTGACGTAAATGTGTCTGTTCTTTTACTGGCTTCTGTAAACGATGACATAAATGCTATTCTATTAATCTGTCTATATTTTGGTCTGTTGCGTTGTGCATCTTGTTGGCGTCTATCATAATATCGTATTCTGCAATTTATTTGTTTGTGGCCTGTTCTATTACAATAGTAGCATCTGACACTGTGATAGTCTTCTGGTTGACTGTAGTACATGTGTATGTTGTGGTTTCTTGTATTATATTGAACTGAATGAGCTGTATCGCTTTCTTTTGAAAATCTCTCGCTTGTTTCACTGAATGATTCATCTGAATAGTAATATGTTGGTGCATATGCTATCTGGTTGTTTTTATTTGTATCTAAACTTTGCACCGTTTCTTGTTTGGCTTGGCTAAGTTCTCTCAGTTTTTCTCTTTCTTTACGAATTCTTTCTGTTTCTTCTTTAATTCCGGCAATATATGTTTCTGCTTCTCTTTGTTTCTCTGCTAACTCGGCATCTATCTTTGCATCATATTCTTCTTCATTTAACAAGGAATCTGGATCTCCGGTTACCTTATAATCTACAATTCTATTGATCAAATCTTCCATAGCATCTGGATCATCTAGAGTTTTTGCGTCAAATTCTTTAACAGTTAATAACCAGTCTCGATTTTCTGTTGTCTTGTATTGTCCAAGCCTAATAATCAATTCATCCAGAATATCTGGATCCTCAATAGTTCTTGTTTTGTGTTCCATTTTAACTGTATTCTGAACATTTGTGTATAGCAACAAGTCATCAATTCTACCTGGCTCTTCTAGGCCTGACTCTTTAGGGACTGATCCGTTTAATGGAGGCATTTTTAAGGGTAGTGTGGTTGAATAAACAGATAAGAAGAGGCAGAAAAACCGCTGGTACCAACTATCCAGCACGGCTCTAAACCCAAACGTTTTTAAAAAAACAAAATGTTGGAAGGTACTTATCTTTTTGAACATGGTGACAGTTCCCTTGTGTCGTTAATCCAAACTCGTTCCGGTTGAAGAAACCCGCTGTTGTGTTGAGTTATAGGAAGCTGTACACCAGATGTACTCCGTCATGAGTAAACCGATATGTACTGTCTTTCCTGTCCTCGACCCGCACTCCACCAGATGTGAGGGTGGGGATTTTTAAAGATGCGGAACGAATGAATCCAATAACACACAGTTCAAGTTCAACTATAATTGTTCTTTATTAAAATTATAATCAGTTCTATCTAACCAGCCTATTCTACACTCTCTACTGTTTACTACTACTACTAACTGTTCACTATACTACTAACTACACACTCCCGTGACCACTCCTAACACTATCTAACTGTTCTCTACATTCTACAATCTAACACCTTCTACCCCGCTAGCTAATCATGATCTCCTAACTATCTACATTCTCGGCCGTCTCTGCCCGCTACCTAACAACTCCTGGCCTATCGCTCTACTGCTGACCCACGCCTCAGTGGTCAGCTGACCGTCCCACGTGACCGGTCAGCCCTGTGCGCCCATTGGCCTCTCTACCCAACCAACTAGGCCTATAGTCTGTTTCTGCTAACCTATATCTGCTAAACATGTCTGAC